AAGAAGACATCCAGAGGGCCAACAGACACATGAAAAGATGCTCAGCGCCACTCAGCATCAGGGAAACGCAACTTAAAACCACAATGAGATACCACCTCACACCTGTCAGAATGACTAGAATCAAAAAGACAAGAAATAACAAGCGGTGAGGACATGGAGAAAAAGGAACCCTCTTGCACTGTCAGTGGGAATGTAAATTGGTGCAGCCACCATGAAAAATAGTATGAAGCTTCCTTAAACAATTAAAAATAGAAATACTTATATGATCCAGCAATCGACTACTGTGTATTTGCCCAAAGAAAACAAAAACGCTACTGTGAAAAGACACATGCACCCATATGTTTACTGCAGCATTATTTACAATAGCCAAGATAGACAACGCCGATGTCCATCAATAGATGAATGGATAAAGAATACGTGTGTGTGTGTGTGTACATATGCATGCATATATATATGGTAGGCAAACCTTGCTGTATACATATATGTAATGGAATATTACACAGCCATACAAAAGAATGAGATCTTGCCATTTATGACAACATGGATGGACCTAGAGGGTATTATATTAAGTAAAACAGATCAGCCAGGGAAAGATAAATACCTTATCATTTCACTTATATGAGGAATCTAAAAAATGAAGCAAATGAACAAATAAAAAGTTGAAACAGATCCCTAAATACAGAGAACAAAACTCTGCCAGGGCAGAGGAGGGTGGGGGATGGGTAAAATGGGTGAAGGGGCGTGGGAGGTACAAGCTTCTAGTTATGGAATGAGTAAGTCACAGGGAAGAAAGGCACAGCACAGGGAATACAGGCAATGATGCAGTCATAGCGTTGAATGGTGACAGATGGTAGCTATGCCTGTGGTGAGCAGAGCATAGCACAGAGAATTGTCAAACCATTATGTTACACATCTGAAACTAGTGTAACATGTGTGTCAACTATACTTCAACTAAAAAAAGAAAGTGCAAAGGTGCTGAGTCAGGTGAGCTTTCATAACGGAAAAGCCTCCACACCTTGAAAAAGCAGAGCCGGCCCCATATCCCAAGTGTCCTGACTCTCGGACCCCGCTTGCATCCCTCTATTTGCATCTGGGATGATGGAGTCAAACAAGATAGTCTCCCAAGTTCCTTCCAGGTCTCAGATTTTGATAAGGAAATAAACAGTAGTGTATAGATGGGACCCATACAGCAGAGTAAAGATAAAGCATGATTCCATGGACATTTTAGAACAAAAAAGCTCATTTGTCATGGATGTCGGCCAACGAAGAGAACACCAGTCAACTGGTGCTTGTGAGGACCAGGACCAAATGTCTGCATCACTACACGAGTTTGTAAAACAGGATGGTCCAATTTTACTTTCAGAAAATAAAAATAATAATCATGCCCCCTGGGCTTTTTTCTTTACCCCGATCATGTCAGATGACTGGACTTTTCTCCTCTGCCAAAGTAAACAGTTACTTAACTATGATAGGCACAGAGTTTTATAGTGAAATTCATTTAAACAAACTATTGAAAGATTTGTGTTTTTTGAAATCACACCTACTGTCAGAATTTGTCTCCAACCTGAATGCATCAATTAGCTATAAAAAAGTATTAAAAACCGGGGCTGCCTGGGTGGCTCAGTGGGTTAAGCCTCTGCCTTCAGCTCAGGTTATGATCTCAGGGTCCTGGGATCGAGTCCCACATCGGGCTCTCTGCTAGGCAGGGAGCCTGCTTCCTCCTCCCTCTCTCTCTTTCTCTCCCTCTCTACCTACTTGTGATCTCTCTCTGTCAAATAAATAAAATCTTTAAAAAATATATTAAAAACCATCTAGAACATCGCTGTTACCCTTGATGCCTTCAGTTATACAGACTGGTAGACATTTTGTCTAATGCATGTTAATCTCATTTTTACCTCCTCTTAGATGTAACTCTGCCTTCCCCCTAGCTTTCTTGCGGTATAATTGATAAATGAAAATTGCATATATTTGAAGTGTGCAATACGATGATCTATATGCACAGATACACACATACACCATGAACTAGTTGTCACAAACAGGTTGATCCACATGTCCATCACCTGATATACTTACCTTTTTGGGGTATGTCTGGTGTGTATGTCTGGTGAGAACACTTAAAATCTAGTCTCCTAGCAAATTTCAAGTATACGATACAGTATTCTTAACTATAGTCACCATGTTGTATATTAGATCCCCAGGACCTACTCATCTCAAAACTGGAAGTTTGTACCCTTGGATCAGCATCTTCCATTTTCCCCTAGCCTGGGCCCCTGGCAACCACCACTGTACTTTCTGACTTTTCTTTTTAAAATTCCACATGTAAGTGAGATCATACATTATTTGTTAGACATAAGCATCCCCTCCCCACCTGGGGTCTGGAGGTCTCCCTATTTTAGTCTAAGGGCTGGTCACCCAGTAAGTCTTTTTGCTGCGGTCCCGTTGAGTTCCTGGATTCTCCTGCCCTGAACGGTTTCCTTCAAATGATTCCATCTACCTTTGTCTTGTGGCACTTTGGTTTCCTGATCACCCAGGAAGCCAAGCTTGGCTGCCCAAGGACTAGTCATACCCTGCCCTGCACCCCTGGGGCCAAAGAGTGGTGTTGATCTTTTCTAAGAGATGTAAGCTTCTACCTTTGCTCCTGGGTTCTTGGGTGATGGTTGGTGTTGTTATTGTTGGGGTGTGGGGTGGTGGGATTGGGGGAGGGGCTGGGCTGGGAAGGACAGCACACATCTCAAAAGGCCTCAAGGTAAAACACAGCTCACTTACCGTCCTGACGACCTCAGTTACACGGTACAACACAAACTGGTTGCCGCTTTGGCTTCTACTGTTATATTTCTTCAGCGCAGTGTCCACTGCCTTAAATAAGTCTTCATCATCGCAGTCGATTTCTTGTGAGGACTCCTGGGTTAAACTTGGTAGCAGCCTGGAGCAGAGAAAAAGCAAGGCAAGTAATTTCATGATTTAGCAGTGGGACAGGCGCAGAGGGACAGGTTCACCAAGAATCAAGAATCGGGCTCCAACTTTGATGCTGATTTTAGCTATTCCCACGCCTTTATCTCTGTACACGCATCTCTCTGCCTCAGGGCTCCGGGTCCTGATGGGTTCCTGCCACCATACACCATTCACCCTATTTCCAAAGGACAAATGGCTCTGTTGGGTTATCCAGGCAGATTTCAGGCTGAAACGTTACAACACTGGGGTCATTAACCTGCTTGTTTGCATTCAGGAAGCACGTAGGAGCACAGAGCACATTTCCAGGTGATTGCACAAGGTTGTATAACAAATCAGAAACTATTAAAGGAGGAGGAAAAAAAAAACAACAATCACCTGTTATTCCCTTTCCCAGGTGACTTTCGTAAAACCCTTCCTGAAGGTCACTACGTGGCACAACAGTGCAACAATGAGTACAACATACAGATATCTTTTTTTTTTTTCTACAAGTGGGCAGAGAGGCAAGCAGAGAGAGAGAGAGGAGGAAGCAGGCTCCCTGCCGAACAGAGAGCCCGATGCGGGGCTCGATCCCAGAACCCTGAGATCATGACCTGAGCCGAAGGCAGAGGCTTAACCCACTGAGCCACCCAGGCGCCCCAACATACAGATATCTTTTAATCATTTATTTGCAAGATATCTAGCTGCAGAAGAGTGGGCTGCTACTGATCACGTTGCATGCCTGGGGAGCCTGTGCCCGGGGACGTAGTGCATGCCGGGAGTCCCACACCAGGACGCTGGGGCAACCAAAAATAAAATATGGGCATCCTCTCTGGTCTCCGGTCAAGTCGGTCTCTCTTCACTCAGTTGCATTGGTTCTAGAAAGTAAAATGCTCCCCAGGGTGGAGAAGAAAGTAGAGAAGCATAAGAAGTAATGGGTTGAATGAGGTCCTGTTTCCCCCCTCCTTGCATCTTGTTTCCAGTGTGGTGGATTTGGGTGTCTACTCACCAAACCTAAGGAACCTTTCTGATAAACCCCACGTTCTGATTCTAACTCCTCCTGCACTGTGTGCTGTTAGACCTCTCTTCTCTCTCCCAGTTTCAGCTTCTGCCTCTTTGTGGGCCTCTCCTTTTTCCCAGCCTAACAACCAACTTACCCACATCTCCTTTAGCCTTAGTTTTTTTTCCCCCCTATATCTCCCTCCCCTGCCCAGACACACACACACACACACACACACACACACACACACACACCTACTTCCTGCCATCACTATGTACCTACAAGTGCTTCCAGTAATTCAGGTAGCAAACCCAAAGTCTTATTAGCCTATGTTTAAATGCTTGAGCTCTGATTTGGGAAGAAGGGAAAAGAAAGAGGATTTAATTATGGAGAAAGAGTCCTCTGGTACCAAAACTGAATAAAGAGAGGTTACCTGAGCCTAGAACATCGCTAGCCTAGGGGGAAAATATGAGCAGAACAGAGGTTTCTGGGGGTCCTAAGCAGAGAACATGTCTGCCCTGCTTTCTGGGCATGTAGCCTGGAAGGCAGCAAGACCTCAGGAAGAGAATAGCCCAGGGCAGATAAGTTCATTAGCAGTCTTGCAGAGATTCTTTTACCTTCAGTTTGATACAGCAGTCGCTGATAAGCTCAACCCAAGGAGGGAGGCGTACAGGGTAGTAAGCATCCCTCAGCAGGAGGGAAGCTAGTAGACCAGTGAAGGAGACTCAGACCTCCTTTCTCATGCCCACCACCCAAACACCTTGGCACTACATGAAATTCTAGAACTGCGGCACAACCTTGTGTGGGGAGTAGCAGGGTGAGGGTGAACTCTAAGAAGAACTGAGGTTAAGTCTCCTCTTAATCTACCAGGATGGCAGCCTGAAATGGAAATTAATTTCTTCTGAAAATCAAGTGATATTTCTTGTGCACCTGAACTCATAGTTATGATTTGTTCCTGCAACATTCTTTGTAGTTCATAGCCAAAGTCTTGATTGCATCAAATTGAGTTTAGAACTTACTTTTTTCCAAAGGGAAACTTAGAGGACTAGAAATAGAAAGTAGGAGGGAATTTGAATTTTGGGTTAGAAGAATAATCCCTTGACTGATAAAACATACCTTCTTGGTATGCCCAGCTACAACCTAACTACTCAGTGAGGAAAGACTCTAGACTTAAAGGAGTTATTAAATCCAGGAAAGAAAGAGGATCAGAGATTTGCTGCAAGGATTTCGTGGTCAGTGACAGACTTGTAGCATTGACATCTTTCCTCTCCTTTCCTTTCGTCTCTCTCTTCTCATGCCATCTCCTCCCCCACCCACATTTGCCCTACCGTGAATATGTAAGTAAGGCTAAAGTACATGAATTTTGTATTCATTATTGATCATATTTTATTTGTGGTTCTAAGTCAGAACATTAATTTTTCTCCATCGAGGAAATCAGATTTTATTTTGGAAGTGAGTATGCAAAAAACTTCAAGACATGTGAAAACTCACTCTTAAATGTCCCTGGGCATGATTCAGAAACTGATTGAGGGAAGAGCTGAATTTCTGGCTTTTTAGGATTGTTGAGGTCTGGCAATGAGAAGCTGGGAAAATTGGCTTCTGGAAGAGGAAGAACTTCACCGTCCTTTAGTGGAGGTAGCCGGTGAACATATCCCATTTGTCTCCAGTGGAAGGGAAAGTGTCTTTTACCTAGACCTCTTTCTTCTGAGTGCCTAGATGGTGGGCCATGGCCCCGGTGATGGTGATCTTCGGGACCCTGGCTTTGGGGTGGTGGATCACAAGGCCCATGGTCAAAGAAATCATGGCTTTGGGGATGGTGTCCATGGGGATGGTGTCCATGGGGATGATGCTTATGGGGATGGTGTCCATGGGGATGGTGTCCATGGGGATGATGTCCATGGGGACGGTGTCCATGGGGATGGTGACCATGGGGATGATGCCCATGAGGACGGTGTCCGTGGGGATGGTGCTCACTGAAACTATGATTATGAGGGTGTCCATGGGTCCCACTGGGGCCAAAATGGGGGTGATGACATCCTGGTCCTGGAGGGGGCCATCGTGGAGGAGCTCCTGCCTGAAATGGTGGTCTGTCTTCTAGGAGAGGTGGGCATCCAAATTTATGTGGCTTGTGGGGTTGATGGTGATCTCTAAATTCATCGGGCTTAAATGGAGGCTTCGCAGCAAGAGAATGCTCATGCCTACCAGAGTGGTGAGGATGGCCAAAATGGTGTGGTATACCACTGATGTTTCTACACTCCTGGTAAAGGATACAGACAAGTGAGTGTTATTGCAGAACACAAAAGGAGTAGTTAGATGTGAAAGTCAGTTTAGACCAATGGATTTCAGACTTCCAGATTCCACAAATCAATTTTAAAAATAGGATAGCAGTCTCAAACTTTTATCCATCCAAACTGACATTTAAAATGCAAACAATGGGGCACCTGGGTGGCTCAGTCAATTAAGCATCTGGTCATGGTTTCCACTCAGGTCAAGATCTCAGGGTTCTGAGGTTAAGCCCTACATCCGTCTCCATACTCAGCAGGCAATCCACTTAGGATTCTTTCTCTCCCTTTCCTTTTGCCCTTCCCCCTGCTTGAGCACACACACACACTCTCTCTCTTTCTCTCTCTCTCTCTCTCTCTCTCTCTAAAATAAATAAATAAATCTTAAATAAAATAAAATACAAACAAAACTGTCATCTGCTACTATCATTATTTCACAATTGGAATATTTTGATAATACAAGAGTCAGAAAGATATCTCAGAGTAAAGATGGTTCTTCAGAGGCAATAAATATTGTATTATGAAAAACTTTACTTATCATCCCTATTTTCTCATTTCAACATCAAATGGTGAAATTACATTGTAGAATGTTACTTATACAGTATAAGCATCTCTTACTCCTTAAGGGTGACCATTTCATTTCTTCACTCTCCTTCTTGTCGAGATTTTAATTAAAAAAAAAATCTGTGGAGCCTTGCTCCTGGTGACCAACCTGCCTTGCCCCCCACCTTTGTTTTATGGTTTGGCACATAGACATTTGGATTATTTTCAGTTTTTGCTGACATGAAAAATACTGTGATGACTATCTTGGTACGGAACAAAGCTTTCCGGGACAGATGTGAAACATTGCTTTGTGCCTTATTTTATGTATCTTTATGTAATGTGTTTGAGGTTTATTCATTCCCCTTAGGTTTTAGGCTTGATGACGAAAATGAAGATTTGAGTCTCAGGACTGGAGCTTTGGCTACAAGGACCATTTTCAAATTCACTAGACATTCATTGAATTGGTTATGATTTTACTTTACAAAGCTTAACTTTTCCCAATTGGGGTATCATATCAGCAATTGTACCCCATTTGTTCCCTGGGGGCCTATTCCCTCTGTATTCCTTTTCAGCCCACTCTTATCTCTCTGCCTCTATCCCTATCTCCCCACCACCCCCAGAGCTAAAAGAACAAAATACACTATATGTCATGACAAAGGCACGGCACATGACAGAGATGACTTAAGCAACCCACCTCAAAATTGAAGACTTCACAGTTTATGGCAATGTGTTCTGGAGTTTCCAAGTCAGAGACTTCTACATCGTAGGACAAATCTGCTCTGCAGAATCCCAAGACCTATAAAGGAGAAGCCTGTTAGTGTGTATGCGTATGTATTTGCGTGTGTATGTGTGTGTGCAGGTCGTAAGAAGGTGCACAGCTAGAGCTGTAAACTTTTATACGTTTGGGAAAGATGAGCTTTAGAAAAATCAGGGTAATATTGTCAAATATCTCTGCTAGTTATTTAACAATCTTTCCCAGTCAATACTTGGAGAAAGTGCAGTTTCCTAAGTGGTTCACTTCAAGTTGCTGTGGTTCTCTTCCGTGAGGGGTCACACCAGGGTCACACCAGGTTCACACCAGGGTCACCCCATGGGGGGTCATGAGGGATAACCCATCATTGATGCCTTGCCTTTCGTCCAACCCTTCTGCACTGGGAGACCCAATTTCCTGTGCCTAGAGAGAATGAAGAGAGGTGCCGAAGAGGGATTTGTACAACTTTACCTGACCCTTGAAGGAAAGTGCTGGAAAGGAGGGAACCAGTATGAAAATGGGTTTGCTGGACCCTGTCAAAGTGATTTAGGGCCATACCCTGAGTACAGAGGCTATGACTGGCTGGCATCCCTATGCCGCAGAGGCTCCTAAACCCAGCTGTCAAAATTAGACTAGGACAAGAAGACAATGCTTTTCTAGATGTGACAGTTAAGCACTGAGGTTCTGAGAACAGTTCTGGAGTCAGACGGAGCTATGTGAATTCTGGCTTCACCATTTACCAGTTGTGTGAGTTTAGGCAAGTTACTTGAAATTTCTAACTACCTTCAGGTTGTGGGAGGGCTTAATTAAATGAGATCATGCTGCAAAACCCTTAGGACTGAGACTCCTCTTCTCCAGCTGCCAAGTTTCTGCACTGGGTTGTTAAGGATTTATTGAAGAAGGGACTGAGAGAGAGAGGTATCTTTTCTAGGGGCAGGATTCTATAACTGCTTCAGGTGGGAACACTGACCAGCCAGAAGGGAACTAACGAATGTTTCCTCTCTTCTGGAGAATATGCTGGAGAATATGCTGTTAAACATCAGAATTATCCTGAACTTGAAATCAGAATCCCACTGTTAAAATCCTATGTCCTAACACTGTCTAGCTAAGTGCACTTGGGCAACTGGTCAAACTTCTGGGCCCTTCTGTCCCAGGGAAATGAGGGCAGACATTTGCTTCTCCTCAGCACGGTTATCACAGGGATCCAACAAGGTAATAACATCAGTGGAAGTGTTTTGGAAATTCTAAGTTGCCCTACAAATGCTGAGTTTCACTAATAAAAGCTTTCTACAGATGCGTGAGTATCCATTTATAAGTGATTGGGGGGAAAATTGCACATGACTGAACATTAGGAGAACTGGATTCTAATCTCAGCTTGGATATGAACCTTGGGCAAGCCCCCTTGCTGGTCCTCAGGTACGTCCATATTTGTCACAGGGGGTCACTGTGAAGGGCAAATGAGATGAAGTGAACAAAGGCACCCATGGTGTAGGCTCTTAATTCTTTAGCTAAGTCTTTAATCCTAGTGAGTTCAAGTACAATCTCAGTGTCAAGTTTAGGTATTTATTGTGCATATTATAAAATTGTACTCTTATGATTCATTTAACTTCCCTATGCCTCAGTTTCTCCATCTCTAAGAGAGACAAAAATAATATCTTCCTCACAGAGTAGTGACGGGGCTAACCCTGGAGGGGTGCCTGATGCATGGGGGGTGGTCTCTGAATGTTACCTGGTATTTCAGAGACATTTATTATACTCACATTATGGTGCCTGGGAAAATGGTGGCTCCTGGAGCAGTTCCTCACAGAGAAGTCCACATAGTAGTTGGTTCTTTCCCCTCCTCTCTAGAACAAATCGGATCAAAGCAGTTTCAGGCACATAAGCAATTAGAATAAAGGAAAAGGCCATAGATGCCTACTACCCAATGGACTGTAAAGCATCACAGTGATTCAAATCGCCAATACGTGCCCTTTTTCTCATGGCCACTGTCTTTTAAAAATTTACCACATAAGTGATAAGGTAAATACTATTTCATTGAAAGGTCAAATAATATAGACATAACCAAGCAGTGTGAAAACTCACCCTTCCTGCTCCTGATCTCTTCTTTCCAGAGGTACCCCTACGTATCTGATGTGTTTCTCCTAGCTTTTTCCTAAATATGTTGCCCATATACACACATATCTAATTAACACAAATGGGCTCAGGGTCTAAGTTTCATTCTCTAACCTGCTTTTCCCCCTAGGAACTCTTCCCAGTGCATACAGACCCAAAACATTCTCTCTAGTAACTGTGCTGTATTCATTCCATCACAAGTACACACTGTAATTAATTTAACTTGGCATTTTCAAAATGCAAGACATTCATCAGAGAACCACTTTACAACATCCCTCTGGGTGGGAGGCAATGGGAGCCCTGGACTGGAATGGAAGGCAGGGGAACTGTCTTGCACCAGCCACACCCCTGGTTGTGCTGAGACGGTGTCTCTGTGCCTCAGTTTCCCATCATCATACAAGGAAGTTAGGACTGGGTGATTTTCAATGACTCATGTAACCCCAATATGCTCTTCTGTCTTTCCCTCCTTCCTGTCTGAGTTTTCCCTCCTCTTCAGTAGATACTTATACTCCCCACAACTCCCCAACATTAAAAAACTGCAGGGGAGCAGTTTCTTCGGTATCTCTTGCCTTTCGGTTGAGGCTGCAAAAGGACCCTCAGTTAGAAAGGAGGTGGACATGTGAGGCAGTGGAGAGGGCCAGTGCCATCGAGTCTGGACCTGCCAGGTTGGAGCTGGGCTCTCAGAAGCCAGCTGACATGAGCAGAGACTCACCGCTCTGACAACTCTCTCCACTCGGTCCACTCTGAAAGCAGCAAAATCTCCATTCTCCTGTTTGTACTTCTCAAGGGCTTTGTTGGCTAGTTCCCTGTAAAGCTCAGTTTCTTCTAAGAAGTCAAAGAGTACAGGGCTATCTTTAGTATTGGTCAGTGCCGAAGAGACTGGGGAAAGAAGATGGCAACTTTGCAGTACTGGGTTGGAAACAGCAATGTCAGTGCTGGGACTTAATACACATAAGCATGGTAGCAAGAGGAATGATAGCTCCCATTTTACAGATGGGCAAATTGAGGGTTGGAGAAGCTAAGTGATTTGCTTGAGATCAAATCAGCCAGTCAGCAGCAGAGCTAAACTTAAATCCAGATCTTTCTGATGCTTTAGTCTCTGTTGTGAACCCATTGAGACATACCTCCCATCACTCACAAAGGGTTAATATTTCACTAAACTCCTCCTGTCTTTCGGAGGAGGCAGAGGCATTATTAACAGAGTTTTGCCCAGAGAGAGAAGACACAGGTCAACCTTTCTTCAAGGTGACTTCCTGAAGGAGTTGTTTGGCTATTAAATGTTGTAAGTTGAATCATGTTGCAATGGACAATTTTTAAAGGAATTCTGTAATGATTCTTTTGGAAACAACAACAAAAAAGAGGATGGCACTCAGAGTCAACAGTCCCGAAATAGGATCATGTCTTTACCACATTTTGGCTGTGTTCCCAAGGCCAAGTCACTGAACCTCTTTGAGCCTCAGTTATTTTATCTCTAAAGTAGAAGGTATCATAATCTTTACCTCGTATGGTCTTGTTGTAAGATGAGAAATGGGATAAACTGTAACCGCTTTGGGAACTCTACAGTAATACACAATTTTTAGATGCTGAAATCAGTAATGGAGTGCTAAATAGTCTGCAAAGTATGCTACATAGAGCATCTTACTTAATTCTAAGAAGGATCTGGAAGGCAAATACTATTATGATCCTTATTTTACAAAGGAGGAAAGCATAAGAGGTTAAGTAACTTGCCCTTAAGATGGTACAACTATTAAGAGAGGAAGCTGGGATTCAAACTCAAATGTGACCTCAGAGCATATGTTCTCTGCAATAATACTGTACCACCTCTTACAGATTTCTATTCTATATCGAATTTCTTTAAGGGAAGGTGTACCAGTAACAGAAGAAAACCCTCTCCCTTCTCCTATGAAGACAGCAAATAATAATTGAGTCTATGAGGGCAGGAACCATTTCTTAGCATTATATGATGAATACCATGGTGTAATTGTTAATCCAGAATTAGCATTTTAACAGATGACCATACCAGAACTTGTGGTGCAGTTATAGTCATTCACTCTGAAATGCTGGGAGTCATTCAAACATTGTGTAGCTATTACCTTACACTGTCCGATCACCTGTAAGAGAAAAGGATTTGTGTCACTGCATACTGCTTTCCCTGGGTTGAATGTGAGGGGACAAAAAGTGAGGTCACATACCCCTACTATCCACTGAGAATTCAGCTATGTTTTCTCTCACCAAATCCTCTTTCAAAACCTGTATTGTCTTAGTCTATATCCGGGAGCTGGACGCTGTAGGCTTCCAAAACCTTCATGAGAGCCAGGGAGAAACTGTTTAAACAGATCATGACCATATCCAAAACATTTTCAAGGGAAAAAAGTACTAAAAGTTCTACGTATGCAAACATCTTATTTTCTAGAAGTGAAATCTTGTATATGTGCTTAATCTTCTTTGTGTTTGCTTCCCATGGTGGAGAGTCTGGTACCTGAGTGCCCATGTGCAATGTGTAGAACAAGACCCTATTCCTCAAGGTCACTGCAGTTAATCCCTTTGGCTATTCCTGCCGATGGGGCCAGTCTTTACAGGACACACTCACAAGTTCATAGGTACTTAGACCCATGGAGTGGACCCTAGGGTCCAGCTACTCCAAACCCCTCCTCTTCTTTCACAGTTGGAGGCAAAATTCTAACATCTGTAGTGATTTGCCCAAGGTCTCACAGCTGGGCTTGTTATCCCATGAGACCGTAATCCCCAGGATCCCGGATCCCAGGTATGGCTCTCAAGAGACTATTCCTCAAGGTCAACATAGTCTTCATGAGTTAAGAGGCATGCAGCCACCCTGCATAAGCAGAGTAGACAGAGGTCAAGGTCAAGAACGATAAAAGGAGGAGAATGATACCTTGCTTACTTACTATCTCAGGTACACGTTTAGAAAGAGCTGGCTCACAGTCATCCCAGCGTTTCCTGGATAGGACCGAACAGTCAGATTCTTTCACATCCAAGACTAAGTAATAGATAGCCACAGATTCCTGAGGAATGCCAAGAGAGCAACAGGTGAAGAGCATGTGGGAGCCCAGTGCTTTTTTGAGAAAAGCAGTCTCTTTATTTCTGAAACAGAAGTCCTGCTCCTCTCCAAACCCTCACAGATGTCCTACCTTTGTGTCATTTGATCTACTTATTTTGAATAAATAGCTTCAAAGAGTTGCTTCCAAATGTTCTTTTTAACTGGTCATGATGCTGCTTCTGCCCACGAGCTTTAAAAAGCAACCACTAAATAGCAGTGTGGGTTTGGGTGGAGGTGGTGCAGGTTCAAGCCCAGAATTATAAGTGATGACAGCCTCCAATCTGTACGCGCAGTCAGGTCCTCTCTCCCGGCTCTATTCCTGAACTTGGATTGCTTGCCTTGATTTCAACTTGCCCAAAGCTGAAACCACTCTCTCCTCCTACAAACCAGCTCCCTCTCCCAACTCCCCTTGTCTTTCAGCAGAGGCGTCATTAATTACTGATCACCTTAGTCTCTGGCTTAGAATCAGAATCGGGAGATCAACTTTGACTTCTTTCCTTTGCTTTCACTATCCACGCACTAGGCTTGCCCACGGTCTTTCTTTGAAACGTCTCCTGTCTTTCCTTCATTCTTCCTGTTCTGATTCCCACTGCCTGAGGCTGGTCCTCATTTCCTCCCTCCCGAACACATGAAAGAGCTTCCTGGTTCATGTCACCTGCCTCCCTCTCTCCAGGCACACTGTGGACCTGCCTTACTCACCCACATAACTTCTCACCACTGCTCAGAGGTAGCACTGTCCCAAGCCATCCTATGCTCTGCACAGGAGGCAGAGAGCCTGAAATGGAACCAACAGTCGCTGAATTGCTGCTTGAATCCTAAAGTCCAGCAATCGGTCTTGGTCTCTGCAACCTGTAATGTCTCCGTCTCTAATACTGGTAACAAGTAGAATTTCTCTGCTGGTCTTCCTGCGTAGCTCTCTGTCTGGCCTCGTTGATTTCAGCAGTTCCACCAAAGGAAGCATGTGGGGGAGCCCAGTGCTTATTTTGGGGGTGGGGGGGGGGGGGGTGGGGAGGGAAGCCTCCTTCCAGAATCTCTATCAAGCCCTCAAATGTACTCCAAATGAGCATTTAATCTTATTATTATGTGAAAGCAGTAGGCTCTCTTTGCTTCAAGATAAGCCTAGTTTCTCTTCCAACCTGATAACTGCTCCAAAGCCCACATAAATCTTCCGGAACCACCCCCCACACCCTTTGGCTTATGTGGAATTACTCCCTGACACCCTCCTTCCTGATTCCCTACCCACACCCCTCTCCCACCCAATTTTAATCTCCTTTCCTTAGATTGTTTCAGTGCCTATACCGCTCACTTGGCTACGGAAGTGTGCCCTTACACAGTTTGCCTGTGCGTGTCTGTGAGCCAACGATTCTTTCCTTGAGGACCCCAGCCACGCTTTGCTCTAAGTCTTCTCTTACAGTACGTATAATTTGATTTGGCTCAGAATAAATGTTCATAGGGACTTAGAGACTGATTCACAATTAAGGACATACGAATAACAGATGTGAGTTCGAAGGAAAGAAGAACAATGTAGAGCAGCAGCAGCATACACTAAACTGGAAGCCCTAGCCGAAGCCACTGCATAGTGCAAAGCAGCAAGATTCGGGCCCAGAACCACTTTCCCCCTCGGGGCTCCTGGTCTCCCAGCTCAGCTCTGGCCCTGCCGATTCCTCACCACTTGGTCCACATGGGCATCAGCGACCCGCAACAACTGGAAAAGGTAGCCATGCTGCCGTCCCTTATTGATCACGTCTAGCACGTTCCCAGCAAAGGGCTCAGTAGCATCGCAGTCTGTGGGACTCACGGTGGCGGCGCAGGAGTTCTGCAGCACGACCAAGGGGAGCAGGAGCAGTGTTGCCCTGAAGGCTCTCATTTCCCACACATGTGAAAACCACCCCTTGCTATAGTTTTATCCCAGCAGAGAATTTTATACAGACTTTCTAAAACACATACAAACACACACACACAGTTAATTAAACAAAGTCTTTATGCATTTCTGTTATGTAACCGGGAAGAGTGACCTTGACCCCTGGTTAAAACATCTGTCAACATGCTGTAAATGATTAGTGGGTCCCTGGGGACAGAAAGTCAAGACATGCCTCTGGTGAGTGGGTAGACCTGTGATCAGCACGAAATCTGGATTTTTCTAGTAGTAGCAGATCCAGAGTGTGTTTTTGACCTTAAGCACAGCCTACATTGGGGTGTGGGATGGGGTTAGAAGTAAAGCAGTTCTCTGCCGTCTGCCTGCCTGTCTCCACCAGGAATCTCCATCATCACACCCCCTCCCCACTCATTATGACACCCAAAGTCCTCAGTAGGATGTAGCTGCATTGCCGAAGGGAGGAAACACATTAAATGGTTAGCACCATAAAAGGAACTGAGTTCTGAGTAAAATAGAAGGATTAAAAGCCTGTGACTTTGAAGTCGGATCTGAATTTCAAAACTGCCCTGTTCTCCTACTGTGTGATGCTGGGTAAACTACAAAACTTCTCTCATTCTTAATTTTCTCATTTACAAAATGGAGATTCACAACTCTTGGCAGGATTGGGTGATGCTTAAATAAGAAAACACATAGAAAGTAACTAGCGCAATGCTCAGCATGGATTCAGGTGTTGACTAAGGGATGTGCAGTCTTGTTATCATTGTGATCACTACGGTATCTGAGAAGAATTGGGGACACCCCATGTCATTTCAGTTCTCTGTGGCCCCTAAAGTATGCTAAAGAGAATTGGTTTATGCGGAAGAGAATGGTGGTAAGGGTAGGAGTCAAGCAATTTGATGTCCCTCCCAGAAAAGGGGTTGGGAGGACTAACCCCCCCGAGGAGGGGCTCAGCATGGGAGGCAGACCTCGGGTTAAATTGATACCCCCCCCCCCCCCCCTTAGAGAAACAATATACCTGTACACACTCTTCCCACCAGCGGCAGCCAGCATCAGACAGGACCGGAGGGAATCATCCCAGATTCCCTCCCATGACCAGTCCCTTTAACAGCAGCTCCCCTCTTCCTGCTCTCTCTCTGCAGTGAGTTGTTTCTAAAGGCCAAAGCAGTGGTTCTCATACTACTGGGAATCACCTTGTTGGGTCCCCAATGTTGGGTCCCCCAATAATGGGTCCGTGATTAAAGGAGCGAGACTGATACAAAACGAAGGTCAAGCAAAGCTTTATTTCATGCCAAGCATCAAGAATCAAACTGAACGTTCAGGGCCGCGCCTCTTACAGACAGGGTGACCCCTCTCTGCTTCACAGACTAGCTTTTAAGGGCAAAGGCCATGCGGTTGGGCCTGGCCATGCACAGGTGGCCAATGAAATTGTAACACACAGAGAAAGCTGCACAGTCATGCTAGGTGACCAATTGAATTACAATTTACCCTAGTAGATATTTGAACCAGCCTATCACCTTGGTCAGAATTGGCACCCAAAGGGCACCCAAAGGGCGGGGCCCATACTCCTTGGTAGCTAGGGAGACAGTATGCTCGCTTTACTGATTGGATGTCTCCACCTGACCCGACTCATCCCTGCATTCCAGCTGTTATCTCCACCTGACCTGACCCACCCTTGTATCTGGGCTTTGTTACCTGGGACTGGTTTCCCAGACTTGCTTTTAAGTAAGTTCCCCTGGGGCGGGGGCAGGGTCAATTTAAGTTTTACTGCATAAACAACAAAATGGCAGTTCAACCGGGGTAGGGCTGCTCTGGCTGAATAGGCCCTTACATTCCCCCATTTCCTTTGGAGATTAGTCAAATCTTTGACTTTTAGCCAGTTCTATGCCCCCTTTTTAATGGCTGCCCAACTGTTTTAATGATTCCAGAGTGGTTTACCCAGAAACAGCATTCCTCTCCTAGGGCTATGCAGAGCCCCCCTTTTCCTAGAAATATTATGTCAAGCCCTTATTGTCTATATTTCCCACCTATATTTTTTAACAATAGGAGCAACAATGAACTCAATGAACTCATTGTTTCCAAGTCTTAGCTTTAGTCCACAATCGGGGGGTCCATCAGCAGCAGCATCCATCTCTGGGGGGCGTCCTCATCCTTGGCTCATTTGACGTGACCTGCGCGAATCCACGCCGTCTACTTTTATTGCCGTGGGGGTGGTCGGGATGACAACAAATGGTCCCTTCCAGTGAGGCTCCAAGCCTCCCACTTGGTGGCAGCGCATCCAAACCAAGTCCCTGGGTTGGCGAGGATGTGGCTCCACCTCCGTCTTCATCCCAGTGTGGGCAGTTCGGATCCCTGTGAAGGCTCCTTCCAAGACAGGCTGCAATGCCTGCAGTGACTGGGGTACAGACTGATCAGTCATTTCTGCTAGGACAACCTCTTGTAGCCGAGGGCAGAGCGGGGGGCGGGGGAGTTGTCTCCTGAACATTATTTCAAACGGGGTCACCTTGTTTAAGCAGGGTGTACCTCGCGCCCTGAGGAGGGCAAAAGGAAGGAGATCCACCCATCCATCGCCAGCCTCCAGAATTAGCTCTGCCAAGGTCTCTTTGAGAGTCTGATTCATTCTCTCTCCTTGCCCAGAGCTCTGGGGCCGGTAGGCACAATGTAGTTTCCAATTAGTGCCCACGGCCTTGGCCAATGCTTATGAGACTGAACTCACACATGCAGGGCCGTCGTCTGACCCAATCACGAGAGGCAACCCAAACCTCTAGTAGCTTTTTGGCTACCACTCCTGCCATCTCAGGTTTGGCAGAAAAAAAGCTTCTACCCAGCCTACCCTCCGTATAGGTGTGGGCGGTCTTACTCTTGGCCATCTGTAGCGCCTTGGTGAGTGCAATCAGCTCCGCTTTTTCCACCGAGGTTCCGTGTGGCAGGGCTATTGTCCAGAGTTCCTACTCAGAGAAACCACCGCAGCCCCCGCGTACCTCTTTCCATTGACCATGTAGCTGATGAAGTTCTTGAACCTAGGTGAGGTTCGGTGGGGTGAGGTTCGGAGCCGACGGCTAAGAAAGAATTCTTAAGACGTCTTTGGTGCAAAAATGTGGTTTATTAGAGCACGGGGACAGGACCCGTGGGCAGACAGAGATGCTGCCCCGGGGATGTGAGGAGTGGCTGGTTATATACACAGGAGTCAGGTAGGTGAGGACAAAGAGGTGTTCAGAAGGGCTACTGGGGGTAAAGAAGACTGTCAGGATATTGAAGGCCTGGTTACTATCAAGCCAAGGCCGCTTTCCCTCTAATGAGGCACTAATATAAAGACAATTGGGAGTCTCCTGGTGGAATGTCACATTCCTGCTATCAAGAGTCCTTGTTAGTGAGATTTAGGTTTAAAAGAAATTTAACTTTATTTACTTTTCCTTCTACCTCAGCCTCCTTCAGTTTTTATGGAGGGGAGGGTGACATTAGGGCTTAAGGAACTGAGTTATGTGCCTCTGGAAATTGGGTTATTGATAAGGTAACTTCTTTGTTGTAAATCTCAAGTACATTTGTAAACCAAGGGAGACTCTGTCTTGCCGGATTGTGATCTCTGCAAGTTAACTATTTCTCGTTTATGGCAGTCAGGGGTGCCTGAGGAATGTGACACATATTACCGAGGGGAGCGGGTGGAGAGGGGGTGCAAGGTGCCAGCTTTTGCTTTGTTTTCAGCCAGCCTCCTGCTCCCTCATCATAGCTACTCCCATCTGTGAACAGAGTCATCTCTGCATCTGGGAGGGGAGTGTCTCTAAGATCCAGCCTTATTCCTGCGACCTGGGTTAGGACCTCCCCGCAGTCATGAGGGTGCTCAGCCAGCACCTCTGGTAGCAACGTGGCTGGATTTAGCACCGACAGAGGCTGGAAGGTCACTTTCGGTTCATTGAGGAGGAGGGCTTGATACCCTGTCACTCGGGCGTTTGTCATCCACCGGTCTAGTGGGGTCCAGAGAAGGCCCTCGATAGCGTGGGTGGTGGTCAAGATGAGATTTTGACCCAAAGTCAATTTACTTGCATCCTTGACCAGGAGGGCCGTGGCAGCAATTATGCGGAGGCAAGGCGGGGGGGGGGGGGCCCAGCTGCTACTGGATCTAGTATCTTGCTAAGATAGGCTACTGGCCTTTGCCAAGGCCCCAGAGTCTGAGTCAAAACTCCCTTGGCCACCCCTGCCTTTCCATCCACATACAAGTGGAAGGGCTCGGTCACATCTGGGATGGCCAATGCTGGGGCACTCAGTAAGGCTGTTTGTAATTCCCGAAATGTTCTTTCTGCCTCAGCTGTCCGCTCTACCATGGTGAGTCCTCCCTTAGTCAGTTCATAGAGAGGTCAGGCCTTCTCTGCAAACCATGGTATCCACGGCCTGCAGTAGCCCACCATCCCAAGGAACTCCATCCCTTTTCAGGGCGTGGTGGGGCAGGGGTATCAGGTAATCACCTGCTTCCTGGACTCAGACAGAGAAAGCAATCCCCCATGGAGATCAAAGCCTAAATAAGTGGCGTGGCTCTGACAAAGCTGTGCTTTCACTGCTGACACCTGATACCCTTTTTCCTGCAGAGTCTGTAAGAGAGCTCTCGTCCCCTGCAAGCATGACCCATAGTCCTCAGCGGCTATTTCCATTATTCCCACTAACTCAGTCAGATTCTTCCTTTCAAATCCTTCAATTTTCTGAAGTTTCCTCTTTATATCTGGGGCTGACTGATTGGCAAAGGCAAGATTGTTTAAACGAGCTATCATGAAACTTCTCTGAAGTTTACCTCAAGTTATCTAGCTTAGGTAAACAAACATTTAAAGACAACCAAATCTAGAATTTAACATCCATAGAGGTGTGTTATTAAAACTAATTTTTCTCTCTAAAATAACCCTTATTCCCAGAGATAGTCAAATCAGGACTAATTCTTTTGGAAAACAAGTCTGGTTTTAACAAACTTGGCCTAATTATTTACATAAACTCAGCAAGAACAATGAGAGTTCATATAGATCTTTTAGAATCTGCTTTGCTGGAACTTCTTATAAGGAATCTCTAGGTTGAACTTTTAGTAGCCTCTCCAGGCCAGAA